AAATAAATAAATAAAATAAAATCTTGCTGTAAAAAGTATTTCATTCTTAATTTTTAATATTCATGTGAATTTTACATTGGCTTCAGAATAACTCTATAGTCTATATATATATATTTTTTTGAAAATTATGTAATCCTAGGGATTATTTGCAAGAACCATAAATCCTCTCAAATTTGTTTCTGTTAAAGGGAAATTTGTTTTAAAGAATTAGCATTATCTTGTAGACGCAAGGAGCAGCAAGTACAGGTGGACCTCCTTAGGGCCTGGACCTCCAGGCCAGGCCTCTTCAGGAGTAGGGCGGCTCCTTTAGCACTCTTGCTCTCTGGCTTCTGTTTCTCTCCGCACTCCTGATTCATGCTTTTGCTTCCCTGTCATTGCACAGGCCCCACAGTGCAGTTTCAGCCTCTACATTCACGTGTCTAAAGGTAACTGAGCCAGTCTCCTGTCACATTTCCAGGTTCCTGGCACAGGTTGACAGCCCAGCCCTGCTTCTGGATTGGTTTCAGAAGCTGGGTCTCCACCCCTGGTTCCCTCAGCAAAGGTCATGGAGAGACAGGCTCAAGCAGGGTAAATATGGCCACAGAACCTGACCAAGTGGCAGGGGCCACGTCTCAGGCAAAAGAAGTTCCTCTCCATTTCTCATACTCTCAGCTACAGGGAGAATCACGGTGCCCGTCCTATCTTGTACCTGCTTTAGACCATTTGCATGGATTCCCACAAGTACATGCACCCTAGAAGGGAAAGCTCAGGAGGAGAATTGAAAGGTTGGATTGGAATGCTGAGGAGGCACAGGAAGACTTGGAGGTCCTTGAAGTTAGGCATTTGCACTTTTTAGTGGGCGGTGGAGACAGACAAACCAGTCATACTATCCACAGAGTGGATGAAGCTAGCTCTGCCTAGGGCCACAGTAGTATGCCAGGCCTTGTAATAGGTACTGGGAGGGCACGTTGCTCAGTAAGAGAGATGCAGGCCCTGCCCTTTGAGTTTATAGTTTTCTGGGGGAAGACAGACAGGAAGCAGGCAAAACAGATAGGTCAGAAATTATGTGTTGTGCCAAGTGTCAGGAAAGCTTGTCCTCCTTGTCAGGGCCTTCCTGAAGGTTTGGTGCTGGGTCTGACCTCTCCACTTGTAGCCTCCTCTGCAGGCTGTCTCATCCACACCCATGGCTTGTTTCACCTGCTGCCTCTGGGTGACTTACATTTGTACGTCTAGCTCAGAGTCTCATGTCCAGCTGCTTGCTTGCCAGTTTCACTTAGCCCACACTCATGGCTCCCGCAGGCTGGTCTCCAGAGTCCCCTTCCCAGAGTCCCTCTGGTTTTGCACAAGTCAGAAGGCCCGCACATCCACCACTTTGCCCTTTCTCACTGTGGTTATCAGTTGGACCTTCCGTGGTTGAGGGAGTCAAAGAAGGACCTGCCGGTGCAGAAGGAAAGAAATCAAGAGCGCAGTGCCTCCAGGAGGCATGACTGGGGAGCAAGCCATGCTCATCTGCCCAGGTGCTCCTCAGGTGAAATAAGAAAATGAGAGACACAGCTTGGTGTGGTGGGCCATGCCTATAATCCCAGCACTCTGGGAAGCTGAGGCAGGAAGATTGCAGGTTCAAGCCCACTTTGGGAAACTTAGTTAATGAAACCCTAGCCTCAAAAAAAACTTTTTTTTTTTTTTTTTTTTTTTTTTTTTTAAAAAAAAAAAAAAAAAAAAAAAAATCCCTTTGGATGGGAGCTGTGGCAACATAGAGGTTGTGGTGACCTTAGGAACGGATTTTGTGCCATTTCTCCTGGGCAGAGCACCTGAGGCAGTGAGCCCCCCAGCCCCAGCCCCAGTGAGAGGCTCCTTGGATGTGGACAGGCCATGGGCATGCTCAGAGGGCTTGAGATTGAGCAGGGAGCGGCTGCTGAAGGTTCGCTGACTAGGCTGGTTTTAGACCTTGACTGCTTTTTAAAGCCTCAGGTACCTCAGGCTCTGAGCCTTAGGAATCAGAATCTCCCAGGGGGGAAGCCTGAACAAGTGAGTGGCCCAGAAATTCCCAGGTGACTTTGATGAGCAGTCAGAGTGAAAACAATGCTGGTAAGCTATTGTAATAGGCCACTTGGGGTTAGTCATCCATTAAACCATATTTACAGAGCGCCTGCTGTGTACAGAGGCAGCGTCTGTGGGCATGGAGGTGACCAGACAAGGTCCCCATTTCAGAGGAGGACTCTGTTAGAGAAGAGCTGACTGAGAGCCCACCGCATACCCGGATGTGGCTGAGTTCTGTGACCAGGGGCAGGTTACTGCAGCCAAACAGAAGTGGACATATTCCTGTTGGCTGTGTGACCTTGGGCAGATAACCTTTCTGAGTCTTGGTTTCTCCATCTGTAAGTCAGAGAGGATAACTCTTTATAATTATAGATTTGTTCCAGGGGATTACATATAAGGTACCTGTCGCACCTGGTACATAACAGGTACTGAATAATTTTTTTAAATTCCTTTGTACTAAAAACATAAACCTGCACACAGGGTGGTTAGAAAGACGGGGAACCACACAGAGAAAAGGGAAGATAATCACCGCAGGGCTGAGACAGTTACTGTGAGTGAGTGCTAAAATAATGTGTTCAGTCTGGGCTCTGAAGCACGTACCTTGGAGGTGTCAGGGAATGAAGACCGGGCCTGGGTGTCAGTGAGGCCGGATCTCCCCTCGGGTCTGCCCTTTGCTCTCCTTTCCACTCGTTTTCATCAAACATTTGCTAAGAGCTTACTCAGAAGTTCCTGGCTGCACATTGTAATCGCCTGGGTTGCGTTTAGGTAGATTTTTTAAAAACTGAGATAAAATTCACATAACATAATATTTCACCATTTACAAATCCATAATTTAGTGGCCTTTACAATTTAGTGTCTTCAAAAGGTTATACAGTTATCACTACTAGCTAGTTTCACAACACTCCCAGCACCCTGACAAGGAACCCTGAACTCAGTTACCCCCTATTCCCCCTCTTCCAGCCCCAGCAGCTTTCTGCCTTTGTGGGTTTCTCTGTTCTGGACATTTCATACAAAGCAGCTCTCACAACACGTGGCTTTCCGTGTCTGGCTTCTGTCACTTAACATAATGTTTGCAAAGTTCACCCATGTTGTCTGGGTTACTTTGAAAGCAATAAAAATGGGAATAGCAGCAGTGTCATAGCATTTTCCTTATGTTCACTCACATGACTTCCACACAAGGAAACTTAAGTCACCTTGAGGTGAAGTGACCTAGTAAGTTGGGTTGCCGGATGACGTCCAGGATTTCTGCGCAATATCTGGGACATACGTAACCTGAAAGTTACTCATTGATCACCCAAAATCCAAATAACTGAATGTTCTGTATTTATTTTTGAGAAGTCTGACAACTCTACGTGGGATAAGTGGCAGAGCCAGGATTTGGACTTGGGCTATTACCCCACTGCTCACTGGTGACACCTGGTTCCCCCACCACTCCCCAGGTCCTCTGACTTCACAGGTCTCAAGTGAGGCCCTGACATCCTTTCTTCTCTTTTGAAACCACTGCAGGTGATTGCCCTAGGCAGCCTGGGGATACAGAAAGGACATGTGCTGGGCAGGAACGGCTACTGTGGAGCCTTCCTATGTGGCACACACCCGGATAGGTGCTTAAATGTCTGATCCAGTCAAGTCCTATGGGATGGATGCTGTTGTCCTTTTTGACAGAGGGGGAAACAGAGGCTCAGAACAGCTAAGTCATGTGCATCAGGTCACAGCTAAAAATGCTAGAACCAGAATTTATACCTCAGGACAGTGTACAATAAAAGCTGGAGTTCTTAACCCCTGCTGCCTTTTCTGTGTTCCCACGGGGACTTGCTAGTATTCACGCTCTCATCCCACAAGTCTTTATGGACACCCTTGTGCTGGATCCTGTGTTAGGTGCTACAAACGCCAGGGCAGATGAGGCAAACCCCTGCCCTTTTAGAGTTCGCAGCCCCAATGAGGTCAGACGTGTACGGTCAACAGTGCCACATGTGCTCTGATAGAAGCTGGCAGTGGGCACAGGGTGGCATAAAGACAGGTGGGCTCAGTCCCGCTGTGGCCAGGAGGGAGTGACTGATAAGCTGAGTCAGGAAAGATGCAGTGTTTATCAGTCGGAGTGGAGAAGAGTCCTCCAGGCAGAGAAACTGGCATGAGCAGAGGTCTGGCAGCTGCTCATAGCTCGGCACAGTCAGGAAATTGCCAAGAGTCCCACAGGCTGGTGTGCAAGGTGTTAGCAATGGATGGCAAATCCCAGGGCCAGGGAGGGTCCCATCGTGACCAACAAGGGAGCCCCAGTGGTGGCAGGCACCAGACCCTGGGCTGCTCTGTCCTAGCAGGCAGTCTCCTCCAGAGCCGGGTGGAATTCAGGGCTTGCAGCCAGGGGTCTGGCAGGAATCTTCGGGAATCTTCGGCCATCAGCCCATCGGAGTTCTTGCTCTCTTAGCTCATCACTGCCGAGTGGTCTCCTGAGGAAAATCCCAGCCAGGAAACTTGGGGTTTGCAGAGGCCTCAGCGTAATTGAGGGCGCCGCTCCCTTCCTGCCACCCCTCCTACTCTCTGCTGCCCACCCCCTGCCAGGGTCGGCAGTGGGGCTGAGCCGGCGAGGCTGGACAGGTGCCCAGGCTGGGACTGTCTGCAGAGGCCCCACCGAGGGGCGCATGGCCCGGCATGGGGGCGCCAGCAGTGCAGGAAGGAAAACAGCCAGAGGCTGAGGGATCCTGAAATAATAAATGTCAGAGCTGGTAGGAGCCTTCCCTGTTACCGCCCAGCCTCTTCATCCAAGGAGTAATTTAGAAGTCGGGGGCCCAGGGAGGAAAGGAGACAGGCAAGGCCACACTTGGGGCTGGGGCAGAGCTGGGTGGCCCCAGTCCTGGCTCCCACATCTTGCAGTGCAGCAGCCACTTAGGGGCTGTGATAGGCAGGCAGGGCCAGGGCCCACCTTTGGGTGGAGAGGCAGAGGGGCAGCTGGGAATGCTCAGGCGCTGGGTGTGGGGATTCTCCAGATGCAAACCATCTGCACACTCTGCTCCTGCTGGTGGCCAGGGCTGCAGCAGCCTTGCAAGGTATTGTAAACCCCATGTCTGAGTCCCCAAGCTTCCACTTGGAGTGGGATTTACAGCTCATGTCTGTCCGCTCGAAATTGTTCAGGTGGGGCAACAGGTGCAGGAGGAAGGAGTTTGGCAGAAACAGGCTGGAAGTTCAGCACCCTATCCACACCACCTCCCACTCCAGGGCCCCTGGTCTCAGAGCCTTGTGCTGTGTGTGTTGGGAGGCCTTTCCCTGTAGATGTTTCTACACCACCTCTGAAGATACCCCCACTGGCCCCTCCTTAGAAAAGATGGCTGGGGCTCTGCGGGGTGGGTTTGCTGTGGCGTGGTAATAAGAGAAGGCTCTGGGGAAGGCTCAGGCCCCTTTACTTCTTGGAGCTTCCCACTGGCCTTGGGCCGATGGCCCAGCCTCAACTTCCTCCCTGGGAAGTGGGAGGATAATGACCATCTCGCAGGGCTGCTGGGAGGAACAGTGAGGCCCAAACAGAAAACACCCGCCCGGAGCAAGCACTCCCTCAGTGGGGCAGTGGGTGAGGTGAGTGTAGACCTTTCTCCAAAGCCTCCTGTTGGATGATCTGCTGCTCCAAGCCAGGGCCAGGCTCTGTGCCCCATCACTCTGTCCTGCCCCAGGGACAAGGCTGCACACCCGTGTCCTGGCTGGACATGGATCTGCAGCTGAGCCTGAGTGGAACTTGCCACCCCAGGAATTTGACAAGTCACCCCTCTCCTGCAGGGCCCTTCAGGAGCACCCACCACCTGTAGGGTAAAACTTCAAGGTTGGTTACAAGCTCAGCCCCTGGGGCCTGGCTGCCTGGGCTTGAGTTTAGGTTCCACCACTAACTGGTTGTGTGAGCTTGGGCACATGCTGTAACTTCCCTGGGCCTCAATTTCCTCATCTGAAAGGATGCTCTGAAATTATATTAAGTGGGTCAGGTGCTGGTGTGCAGCGGTGAGGCTGGAGCCCCAGCTTTCGCTATTATTAGCGTGTTCTCCCCACTGGTCAATCCGGGCCTCACACTTCGACACCAGTCCTGAGAGTGTCTGCTCCACAGGCCCTTGGCTGTAGGGTAGATGTGCTGAGGGCTCCTGCGCTGTGGACTTTGCCTCTGCTCCCCTACATCATCTTCCCCTTTGCTGCTTTGCTTGACTGAGGGGAGGGTGCTTCCCCCTGCTCCAGGTTGGCCACAGCCTCCTTGGCCCTCAGCAGACACCTCATCGGTGTCCATCTACCCCACTGGCTGTGTGTTCATCCGCTGTTCCCAGCACCTGCTCAGGCCTGAGGGACTTTACCCCAAGGCCTTCCTCTTCCCACCAGGGTGAAGAGGGGCAGGTGGGCACATCTGGGATCGCACAGCTAGTCAGGGGCCCTCAGTCACCTGAGGGAGTAGACAGAGCTGAGATTGCTCCAGAGTTGAGATGCTAGCTAGCGGACTTCTCTGGCCCGCTACCGCTCATTTCCCTTGAGAGCTGCCTGCCTTCCCTTGGGTCCACTGGTGAGTGAGGGAAAGCAGAGTTAGAGCATGGCATAGAAAGGACAGCTCACAGTGGCACGGGCCACAAAAATTGCATTCATTCATTCATTCTTCATCCGTCGAGACAAGGTCTCACTAGTTCAGGCTGGCCTCGAACTTGAGTGATCCTCCTGCCTTAGCCTCCCAAGTGCTGGAATCACAGGTGTGTGCTGCCACACCTGCCAACACTCCCAGTGTTCTGACTCGCTTTTCAGTGGGGGTGGCCAGAGCAGCAGTGACTGTCACTCTCATTGTGCAGGTGGAAGCCCACAGCTCAGAGAAGGTGGGAACTTGCTCAGGGTCATGGTGCTGATGAAAAGTTAGGCCAGAGAACTCAGTCTGCTCGCTCTATATCCTGCTTGCTCTTTTTTCCTTTCCTTTCTCCCTCCTGGCCTCCCTCCCTCCATTCTTTCCTCCCATCCTTCTCTCCTTCCTTCCATCCTATTTTCCTTCCTTCCTTCCTCCCTCCTTCATTCCATCTCCCCACTCCCCTGTCTCTTCAGACTGAGGATTGAACTCATCAGGACCTTCCACTTGCTGCACAAGCAGCTCTACCACTGAGCTGCACCCCCAGCACCCCCCTTTTAAAATACAGACTCTCGCTGTGTTACCCAGGCTATCTTTGAACTTTTAATTCTCCTGCCTCAGCCTCCCAAGTAGCTGGGATTATAGGCTCTGTAGTTCAGCCATGGCATTTGGCAGCTGTGTGAGCCAGAAGGTCCTTTTGGGCAGATGTCACCTTACCCCCTTCTTGCCTCCTCTTGTCCTTGCCCTTGTCCTATGCCCTTAGGCCAGACTGTCCCAGACCCCACTGTCCCATCCTGTTGTTCTTGTTGAATGCCATGTCCATTTGTCATTGGAAAGGGACTGGCCCATGGTATAGTGCTAAAGTGGCAAAACGAGTTTCGGGTAACTTAGTGCTGAAGTTCCCAGCTTTTCTAAATACAAGAACCCTTTGTCTTCTTTTATTAATTTATATTGTAGAAATTTTCAAACATACATAAGGGTAGAATCACCCATCTTCAACAATTATCAATATTTTGCCCGTCTTATTTTTTCTTTTCTTTCTTTCTTTCTTTTTTTTTTTTTTTTTTTTTTTTTTTTTTTTTTTTTTTTTTTTTTTTTTTGGTACCGGGGATCGAACTTGGGTCCTTGTGCTTTCAAGGCAGGTGGTGGAACCACTGAGCTAAATCCCTGGTCCTCATCTTATTTTTTCATCTCCTAGCCCAGACTTTTTTCCTCTTACGGAGAACTTGGGATAGTCACAGAATGGAACAGGATGGTGAATGTCACTTACCCATCGCCCAGTCCTGCCTGGCCCTCAGTCCACCAGCTTTCCTGATTCTCATCTTATTTTGAAACAAATCCCAAATAGATTTCATCATTCAGTAGTTCAGTGTGTATTTCTAAATAGTAAGGACTTCTTTTTTTTTTTTGGTACTGGGTATCAAACTCACAACCTTGTGCTTGTGAGGCAGGTACAGTGCCACTGAAATAAATCCCCAGCCCAGGACTTCTTTTTTGGTACAAATATTATACTATTATTATGGTCCCTAAAACAGTAACAAAGATCCCTAAATCATCAGTTAACAAATTTTCAATTGTCTTACAATTTTCCTTTTTACAGATTTTTTAAAAATCAGGACTCAAGATTCACGCATTGTCATTTGTTGATATGTCATATAAGTCCCTTAGGATTCTCCCCTCTAGGGCTGGTGGTGCAGCTCAGCACAAGTGGTAAATCACTCACCTAGCATGTGGGCCCTAGGTTCCATCCCCATCAGTACACGGAAGGAAGGAAGGTAGGACAGAAGTTTGTACTGGGGGTTACGCCCAGGGGCCTTCACACTGAGCTGTATATCCCCCCACCCCTCTGTACCAGAAATTGAACTCAGGGCCTCATGCTTGCCAGGCAGGCACTGAGCCACTGAGCTACATTCCCAGCACATATTTTTATTTTATTTATATATTTTGGTACCGGAAATTGAACTTGGCTTCATACTTGCCAGGCAGGAGCTGCACCACTGAGCTACATCCCATTTTTTGATGGACGTGGTGGTCATGGGAAGTATGAAAGTGGTACCTATGCCCTGTATGAAAATGGTCCAAAGGAATGAATGTCTAATAGTGAAATTTAATCTGCATGTCCCAAGGCCTTAGTAGTACTGACAGCTCTGCCCACTTGTTGGGTTGCCATGGTAACCACAGCTGGCACTGAGAAGCCACAGGAATGAAGAATGGGTCCTATTGATGCATTTTGAGTCAGGACAGGGTGGGGGGTGCAGAAGGCCCTTCTAGGCAGGGCAGCTGGGCAGGGCTGAGGGCTGCCATTTGTGGTCTTTTGCCTACAGAGGCTGCAAATCTGAGAGCCAGAGCATGGTGTGTGTGTGTGTGTGTGTGTGTGTGTGTGTGTGTGTGTGTGTGTTGGAGCAGGATGAGGGGCACAAAGGATAGTGCCAGCCACTGGAATTTAGGCTTCATCCTGGCTGTCAGGCTAGGCTGCCTGAAGGACCACAATAGACCTCTGAGTTCAGAGGTACCCCAGTCTGGATTTCACCCATCTGTGCCTAGTGCCTGCCCAGGCTCCTGAATGGAGCCACCGACTCAGCTTTGAAGGAAATGTTAGTGACCTCAGTTCCAATCCAAAAGAAGCTCCTGAGTCATTCTCTACCTGAAGCCCTTGAATAGTTTGGTGGGGAGTTCATTCTTCCCTTGGGAACATCTCTCTGTGAGCTGAATTCTGTTTGTCTTCCTAATTTCTATCTCTGAGTTCTGGAATCCTCTCCACGGCTAAGCTGAGCTGCGTGTTTCCATGTCAGTAGGAACTTGGGAGGTGTTGTAGCCAGGCTCCCCTCTGCTGTCAGCCTTGTCTCCTCTGGACGGGTCTCCATCTGTCCTTCCCTTCTCCCTCTCCTAATTCCAGGGGACAGCGAGGGATACGATGGACTGGTGAATAGGCCTTTAGCTTCAGAGCCAGAACCATTTGTAGGGTCAAAGCCAGGCCCCTAAGCTTTGTCAGGTAGCTGTGGGCAGGACGTGGGCCCCAGGTTTGGCCATTCGTGTGTTAGTCACAGCCCTGCCACTATTCATCGTGGTGTGACCTGGACATCTTCCTTCTGGCAGCTTTACACAAAGGGGGCCTGTAACATCTTGGCCTTGAGAACTGCCCTGTGGCAAGGGCTCTGCTGTGGTCCTTCTGTGCCTGTTATCCTCGTATCTTAAAGAGGATGATTGGGAGTGGGGGGTGCTTAATTAATCCAAGGACAGTCGAGAAATTTCTAAACCAAATTCACTTTTGAAATAGGTAAGCTTTTTAGCTATCAAATAATTGTATTTTAAGCACTTTACCTGTGTGAATTCCTTTAGTCTCCCCACTAACCTTATGTGGTAGGAACTGTTATCATCCCCATTCCATGAAAGGGGAAACTGAGATATAGAAAAGTCGTGTGACGAGGGCATGGTGGAGCTGGGAATTCCAACCTAGGCGGTTTGGGGCTAGTAGAC